TTGATCATGAGTCAACCACAAAATCGTTATCAGGAATATTATAAGAATCAAACAGCGCAGACGACGATTTTCAATTCAAAATAAACGGGCAATATTTATGTACGTACATAATAAATGGTGAAGTGGTCTAAAGATGCCACATAAAATACAGGTAAGGAAAATTGCAATCATTACAGTTCAAATCTCTAGGTTGGCTAAGCGTGTTTCAGTACTAACTGAAGCAATGGTAGAAGGATTAGATTAGAAGATGTAAGAACATTAAAAACAGTAAGAAAAACACGTTTGCACAATTGAATAAAACTGTTCTGATTTTTTTCTGATTTTTTTTTCTAGATTCTGGCTAGATACATATAGAAACTGATCATCAACGTTAATATAACCTTTACTGTTAGTTGGGTTGATTAAGGGGCGGGGCAGCCCAGAGAGAAAAGAGAAAAACAGCCAATAGAAACAGTCCTAAGGGCTAAAGGACAAGCAGAGAGGGAGGTGGTGAGTGAAAAAAAAACGGAAGCACAGGGTGACGAGAGTTGTGTAAAATATCTGTATTAATGTGTGGGGCTGCTTTTAATGAGAATCAGTGGTCATGGTGGGGTGGGTGTGTGTGTGAGTGGATGCATGTACTCTGTAAGAAAGACTTGGAGGGCAGAGAAAAGTGGTGAATGAACCGTTTAGGGAGGTAGAGAGAAAGGAGGCAAGAAAATGTGTCATAGTATGGGGGGTTAGGATAACAAGCATAAAAAATAAAAATAAATCACTGAACAAATATCTATTGGAACAAACAGACGAGGACAAAAGAGGGACACTACATCATGTATTGTGTTGAATTTTTTCCATACTAGCTACTGTGTAACTCAGGGTTTAACATCTATGTATGCGTGTGTTTGTATTACTGTGTTGTGTGTAGATGGTTGTTTGTGTCCTTCCCGACGACACCTCTGTGTATTTTTAATCCATCCATGCAAACTTGTGAATGTGGTCAGTAGAATGTGTTACCAAATGATCTCTGATGAACTGACAACCACTCCACTGGGAAATGAAACTGCACAAAATCACTTCAGCACAAAGGCAGAGAGAATGCTGCTGGTAACAGATGCAACTGAATACTTGCTGTTTTTGTGCGCGCGTGTATGTGTGTGGTTAATGTACGTGTGCGTGCTTGTGGTGTCTATATTTCTTATTTGGCGAGCAAATCGAGAGAGGGCATCATATGCCAGGACACACTCTGGCTCGCTGCAGAAAAACCATCTCCAAATAATGTATTGTTGCGATACACATATTTGTACTAATGTCAAAGTTGAAAGCAGTTAAGTATATGACTCCTAGTACTCCTAGACTTAATATTTTGGCCAGCGGCGTTATATTCTCTAGCCTAGTCATGTTGTGTGTATTGCAGTCCTGTGTTAAGCCCAACGCCGTTAACTACTCTTAACCTATAAACACCTACAGCACTCATATGCTTAATCCCTACCAATAACGGCTAAAAAGTCCATACCTATGATTTCATTTGGTGTTTGTGTAAGAGACGGCGGCCCTGTGATGATGAGCGTAGGCCTACACTCGCTGGGTCAAGGGTCAGCGTTTCACTGTAATGTGTTGAGTTCATCGAGTTCATAACGGGATGTCTGACACGACTACATAAACGCTTACATATATAGTCAGGGTTTTCTCCTTCAAAATGGCATTTTGCTACAAGCTTTTTCCATGTCAGTTTTGTGGCACACAACAAAGCACAAGTCATCAACAGAGTAACATAATAAGGTGCTTCTTGTTGACTTGGCATTAAAAAAATGTTTTGAGAGTTTTTCGCCTTTACTTAGGTATTAAAGTGGGTCACTAAAAAGGCAGACAGGAAACAGGGGAGACAGATGAGGAGATTCAAACCGCCGACGTTTGCGTATGCACTGTGTCTAGTATTTGGTGTGCCGCACAGTAACCATTCAGCTATCGAGGCGCCAGGACTTGACTTTGACTTTTTTTTTTCTTTAACGCGCTCATTTTAACCTCTTATTACTATCAGAGATTACAATGTTCATGGCCAGCAGCTCTCAGGTAGTATCTGTCGGTCTACTGCTTTTACAACTGTAGCTGTGCTACTGGTAAATGTTAAGAAGAACATACTTGTATTTCCATTGTCAGATGAACTACTGTGGGGGTACACACCTCATCTCTACAATCATAAGTACTCTAATAAAACAAGTCAGTATCCTAGAAGTGTCAGACTGTGAGCGGCACACTCAAGTCTGCCATGAGGCCTCCCTCCCCCGTCATGACGTGATCCGACTCTGGAAGCCTCTGACGTGTTTGGCCAAGGTGCTTCAGGGAAGGTGTTTCCTGCTAGTCTAAAGAGGCACACTGGAGCTCTTTGTGTTGGGCTATTGTCATGACAAGAGTGGCTCAATTACCACCCCAGGGCAGAGAGATCTTGGAGGTTTTGCTGCCACACCTCTTTTCTATCAGATGCTGCCTCAGTTGGCTGCCCCTTTTTTAAAATACACTTTGGAAATAACTTTTTAGAAATCTGAAATGATGCCCAGGTATCCTTGATGTGGATAATCAGGAGTCCTTTCGTCTTCATTGCAAAGTTCTTGACTGAATTTGTGAGGCCAGTGTGAATGGAACCCTGCCTGGCAGCAGTCACACAGCACATCAACATTGATCTCCATCTGGGCAGTTATATTCTTTTCTATGGGACTTTAAGTCCAGAGATGCCTCGGAGTTTTCATCACTTTATCACCTGGTAGAGGACTGTCCAGTGTGGTTTAACATGCTTAAAAACAAAGTGCTTCATTGTCTGAAACCACTCTGTTCACATTCTGACGTCTCTCAAATAGATCTCTACCTTTAAATGTAGTTTTATATGTCATAATGATTTACTTACGCGCAGGGACACCCCTCACAGACTTTCAGTTCAACTGTATAGGGGCTTGATTTAAATAGAACATTAAGTGCTTCTGTTGAGATAAAACAATCAAAGCTTTGGAAGAAAGGTACAAGGGGATGGGAGGGTAATTTAATGCACTGTTTTTCGAGGAGCAGGGTAAAATGTTGCATACTTGAGGGCTTAAGGTGCATAAATTCATTGGGTCTCTTAGTACAGCTAAGCACTAGGCTATGCTACATAGGTCAAAGTAAGATAGCACACAGAAGTGCTCCAGTGACAGATAACCAATTCATCTATAAAGGTGTTTGTTTCTAGAAAGTAGGCTATGTTGAGCAGTGCAGCTAGCCTGCAGTATGGGGGATCAGGGTCACCGCACAGAGGGTTGGTGCTTCGATGTCCTACATCCAGAGTCAAACTCTGAGCGTCTCCTCTGAGCTCATGTAAGACAGACCTCACATGAGATGGCTATGGCAACGAACCACATTAATAGACAACTATCAACCAAGGCGACCAGGCCTAGATGCTGTAACCATGGAAACCACATCCAATGTGTCACTGTAACCGCAAGCTTAACATCTGTGTGCAGAGATTCAAACAATGGGACCATTAAAAACACAAAAGAAGAAACTCAAACTGTACGGATACCCATACTTAATAGGGGGCTCCTTTAAGTGGCGGGGTGTAATGGGGGTGGGCTTTACGCTTATTTAACCAAGTGCGGGAGGGAGGCATTTAGGACTTTTGAGGGGTGGGGCGCTTACAGACTCATGGAGAAATCCTCTCTTCATAAAACAAAACAAACCACATGAGAAAACTAAAAAGGGAGTAGCAGCTAACTGTTGTAGAATATCAGATGGAGCAGGAGTCTCACTTCCCTCCTGCTCCATCTGATGATGTGCACAGCTAGCAAGGCAGGGCTACGAAAACAGGGAAAGGCAGTCGAACACAGATAACTCTCTCAGAGCAGTGCGTCCTGGAAAGGATGCCATCACTCCTCCTTTTGTAGCGCTCCATCTGATGGGCAGTCGTCAAGGCAACAGGGGGCCTCCACTTCTACCCCCTCTGATTGGTTGTCTCTGCTGGCTAAGAGCTGCTGAGTTGCCACCTCTGGTGTGGATCCTGCCTCCTCTGAGGTCTTTGGGGGACTGCTGGCTGGGGGGGACGATGACATCTAAAGGAGGACAGTCAAATAGCATTTTCACACAACAACAGGAGGCATAAGAAAGACAGTAGAAATGTGACAGGAAGAGGGACACTATTAGCTGAGATGTTCACTGGTGGTTTCGCTAGTCATCTAGGAAAATGAAACCACAAGACTGAAAAGATTAGGGTGAAAGTTTGGGTTGTTGCTTGGTGAGTCACACCTGTGTTCTGTTTGCAGCTGCCTTTTTCCCTCCCCTTACTTTCACTGGAATCTCTTTACCTCTCCTGTGAACAAGAAACAGACAAATTTAAGAAGTACATCATCGATTTAGCACTCCTATAACACTGTTGGAGAGTATTAAAGTTGTTGCAGCAGAACCAAAGAACTCATCTTGTTCCACTCTGAAATGACATCACATGAGGCAATTTATCAGACTTCACGCAACTCCATCTGAAGCCACAGTGGGCTTTGTACTACCATTGTCATATATGCAGTAATACTCCCCAAGATCTATAAACAAACAGCTTAAAAACAGCGGGGCTATCCCTTGAATGCGGAACAACCAATATCAGTAGTTTGTTTTAGGGTTCAGTCACATTAGCCTTTAAGGTAGAATTAGTTCATTGCTGCAAAGTAAATCCACTTCCAGAGTTGGCTGCAAGTTCAAGTCTGGCGAACTTCGCTGCAATTCCTCTTTTTCTGTAATCATCCATTCAAAAGTCAATTTTACTGTGTCCAAAATGTATTGCATTACTGCTTTAGTTGATATTGTTTCTCTGAGAACAGAAACCCTGCATTATGCAATGCTTTTACAAACTTGGAAAAGTGGAGGCTGCACAGCAATATGCTAATGCTACTCACAGAGAACACTGGGGGACAAAACACACAATAGATCCGAATTCTATAATAATTTTGCTCCTCCTGAAAAAAAATAATGTGGCAAAAAATGGTTTTGCAGACCAAAAGTCACTTTACTCACCCTTTCCCTGCTCCCACTGACACCACCTGCATGTTGAAACCCCCTCTCCCACGGACTGGTTTGTTCCCAGCCCACTGGCCAACCACCATGCCAGCTATCTCCAGTTTCCCTCCCTGAGGGGGGATAGACTGAATGCCTGCCAAAAGAAGAAAGTATTATGGTAAAGTCAGTCTCAAGTGTCCAAATTCCACACTGCATATACCAACTGTATACATTAAATGAAAGGGATACTAATCTTTATAGCACTGAACACAATTTTTGAAGTAGTATAGAAGATGTCTGCACAGTTCACTGCTCTGCTGCACTAGGTGACGTGTGGGATACTCATGGTGAAACATCATGGAGAGTACACCGAATTTATTGCTGCAAAGTATTTGTGGAAAATAAAGGCACCGAAAATCACTTATCTTTTACATTTTTGTTCTCCACTGCTGTTGAAACTATTTGTTGCACACTACACTGTAACTAGGCTGCAATTTTAACATGTTTAATTTTATTTTGGCTAATTGTAATTATCTATAAATATTTTAAAATCTTATTTCTGTATTTTTATAATGCCTTATATGCATTATGTAAAGCACTTTAAATTGCTTTGTTGAAATTGTGCTATACAAATAAACTGTGCCATGCAAAGGCAATCTCAAGAAACTTTAGAATGACACTGTTAATTAAAGTCAAAAAGTAGGCAAAAAGTTCTGTCCAAAGAGTTATTTTCTGAGGTGTTCCTGGTCTCCACTTCCTCTCTGCACTGTGTTGTGGGATAGTGTACTACATCAAAATCTCAGTCAGGAATCTGGGCTTTTAGCATGCTTTATTCTGTTACTCTTCCAGCATGAGCAGAATACATACTTAACCCTATAAAACCATTTGTATCATATTTGATACGTGAGGTTTCTGAGCAAAAATCGCCAAAAATGCTCCATGTATCAAATGTGATACAATAGAAATAATCTAAATAATATGGCATCCCTATTCATATATGCCTGGACTGTCTGTCTATGCATAAATGGCAAATAAAAATCGTGAATCTTGAATTTCGAATCATGAATTATATTTTGGATTTTGTTAAAAGGTTTAATAAACATCTCGGTTCCAAAAAAATTTGAATGTTTTGGCTATTTTTGATATGTTGGCCTTTACAGGGTTAAAGGCTGCTTAGTATGGTGTATGCTAGCGGGACACAGGTGATGTCTAAGAGAATGTGTACATTCAGATTACAAGTGTCTATGTAGCGAAACAGGTAAAAGAAAGCATCTCTGTACCTGGGAAGGCTCTGGGTCTGTGCTGGGCAGGATGATGTGGATGATGATGAGGGGGCATGCCACCCATAGGGCGAGGTGGGTAGAGGGGAGGCATGGGGTAGAAAGGCGGCACCATGGCAGGGGGCAAGAAGGCAGGAGGTGGAAGAGGTGGGGGAGGAGGAGGAGGGCGGGACAGGTTGATGCCCTCAAGAATCGCCTGACGCATCTTCTCGACCTTGGACACCAGCTCTTCCTGCAGAGCAGAAAGACGACTTTCAGGTACAGTTCCTGACATGAATGCACCACAGGCTGAGAATGTCTAAGTGAGGACACTGAACAGAACACATTTTTCCTTTACTGTTCTCACCAATTGTTGTCTAAGTGTCCTTAAACCAAGAGACCAGCAACACTGTGGTATTAAAAGCCTCTTTCAGATATGCCTTGTGTCAGCAGCTAAGACCACTATAATAAATTCAGTTCAATACACAATGAAAGCTCTGAAATATTTCACAGTGGTGTAACCTGTTTTGTTATACAGTGTATCTGTTTAATTAAAAACTGCAGTGTATAAGCTCATGTACCCACAGTGCGGTATTATCTGAACATTTCATTATCTTAAAACACTTGACTTTAAAAACCAACACACACTAACTTCATTCCTCTCCATCTCCATGGTACCATGTGATTCATACCTGGCCCTCACACATGTCCAGCAGGGCGGCTCGGTCGCGGGCAGCTCGGGCCAGTTTGCTCTGGAACAGTTTGCCGTCAAAGAAGCCCCAGGGACAGCAATGCTCCCATGGCAATGGCTGGCCACACACATCATTGATGAACAGTGCTGTGTCAACGCCGGCCATAAAGAGGGCAGCCAGCTGCACGCCACGGGAATCCACCTTCTCCACCTGACAGCCAACACATAGACAGCTATTTTAAACTGTGGACAGTACACAGAGACAAGTAGTAGAAAAGACTGCAGAAGAGCTGTGAATCATTTGGTCTTGGAAAAATGGGAGGTGGGCACACACACATCACATTTTGTCTCAAGGGAGGCTCTTCTAAAAGAGTTTAGTTTGTAACACTAAAATCTATTAAATTACTCTTAAAGTAGCATGGTAAAATTAATATACCCAGTAGACTCAAGCATGACTTACCATCTCATAATTATGAGATCAGGATTTCATAATTATGACATCTTTTTCTCATAATTATGAAATAATGCAGTTGTTGGAACGCTGCAGAACTTGCATGAAAATCATCAGGTTTTAATGAATTTTTTTGTGTCAAATTATTTCAGTGAGAGTTGTCAATATATCCAACAGTGCATACCAAAAGTGAACTGTTAGTAACTGAATTGGCATACTTAGCATTTCAAAATGCAAACAACGGGCCGTAAAATTGCTGCCTGCAGTGTAAATCACTAAAAGGTTTATACGTGTACTGAGCAGGAAAGTTTCAGAACCTGCTTGAAAAACATTGTGGTTTTAACCTTATAAAACCATTTGTATCATATTTGATACGTGAGGTTTCTGAGAAAAAAAAAAAAAGATCAAAAATGCCCCATGTATCAAATGTGTTACAAAAGAAATAGAAATAATCTAAATAATATGGCACTTCTATTCCTATATCCCTGGACTGTCTGTCTATGCATATACAGTGGGTATGGAAAGTATTCAGACCCCCTTAAATTTTTCACTCTTTGTTATATTGCAGCCATATGCTAAAATCATTTAAGTTCATTTTTTTCCTCATTAATGTACACACAGCACCCCATATTGACAGAAAAACACAGAATTTGACATTTTTGCAGATTTATTAAAAAAGAAAAACTGAAATATCACATGGTCATAAGTATTCAGACCCTTCGCTGTGACACTCATATATTTAACTTAGGTGCTGTCCATTTCTTCTGATCATCCCTGAGATGGTTCTACACCTTCATTTGAGTCCAGCTGTGTTTGATTATACTGATTGGACGTGATTAGGAAAAGCCACACACCTGTCTATATAAGACCCTACAGCTCACAGTGCATGTCAGAGCAAATGAGAATCATGAAGTCAAAGGAACTGCCTGAAGAGCTCACAGACAGAATTGTGGCAAGGCACAGATATGGCCAAGGTTACAAAAAAATTTCTGCTGCGCTTAAGGTTCCTAAGAGCACAGTGGCCTCCATAATCCTTAAATGGAAGACGTTTGGGACGACCAGAACCCTTCCTAGAGCTGGCCGTCCGGCCAAACTGAGCTATCGGGGGAGAAGAGCCTTGGTGAGAGAGGTACAGAAGAACCCAAAGATGACTGTGGCTGAGCTCCAGAGATGCAGTCGGGAGATGGGAGAAAGTTGTAGAAAGTCAAAGAAAGTCAACCATCACTGCAGCCCTCCACCAGTCGGGGCTTTATGGAAGAGTGGCCCGACGGAAGCCTCTCCTCAGTGCAAGACACAGGACGGTCAGCTCTAGGAAGGGTTCTGGTCGTCCCAAACGTCTTCCATTTAAGGATTATGGAGGCCACCGTGCTCTTAGGCACCTTAAGTGCAGCAGAAATTTTTTTTGTAACCTTGGCCAGATCTGTGCCTTGCCACAATTCTGTCTCTGAGCTCTTCAGGCAGTTCCTTTGACCTCATGATTCTCATTTGCTTTGACATGCACTGTGAGCTGTAGGGTCTTATATGGGCAGGTGTGTGGCTTTCCTAATCACATCCAATCAGTATAATCAAACACAGTTGGACTCAAATGAAGGTGTAGAACCATCTCAGGGATGATCAGAAGAAATGGACAGCACCTAAGTTAAATATATGAGTGTCACAGCAAAGGGTCTGAATACTTATGACCATGTGATATTTCAGTTTTTCTTTTTTAATAAATCTGCAAAAATGTCAAACATTCTGTGTTTTTCTGTCAATATGGGGTGCTGTGTGTACATTAATGAGGAAAAAAATGAACTTAAATGATTTTAGCATATGGCTGCAATATAACAAAGAGTGAAAAATTTAAGGGGGTCTGAATACTTTCCGTACCCACTGTATGGCAAATAAAAATAGTGAATCTTGAATTTCAAATCATGAATTATATTTTGGATTTTGTTAAAAGGTTTAATAAACATCTCAGTTCCAAAAAATTAGAATGTTCTGGCTATTTTTTGATATGTTGGGCTTTACAGGGTAAAGATGTTTTCATTAGGCTATTTATTTAATTTTGACAGCACATCCAACAGTAGGCTAGGTAGTAAAATAACTGCTAATAGCTGATTTGGCGTACTTAGTGTTCCAAAATGTAAACAGATAGGCCTATAGCCTAGGCTAAAATCAGTGCCAATTGTAACACAGTGTATCCACAGCACCATAACGTAGCCTATAGCCTATGTCCTGTTTCTTACAAGCTGTGTGATTTGTCTAGATTCAATATCACATTTAGCTATCTATATAATAAATACTGCATAAGCTTAAATATCAAATTTTCAAAAAATAATTTTTGCACAATATTTTGGAAAATGTCACATTAAATGGTAAAAATTTAAAATGTGCACAAATCATACATAAACAAGGAACAAGTAGGCTATAATGTTGCTATACATCTGAGTTACTGTGAACTTCAAGACTATATTTGTTTAGCCTTTTTTAACGCTAAGTGGGACGAATTAGCTATTAATAGATCACTTTTGCTATGGACTATTGAACGTACTGAAAACTCTCAATGAATTACTTTGATACTAAAGAATTTGTTAAAACCTGATGATTTTCAGGCAAGTTCTGCAGCGTTCCATCCCCTGCATTATCTCATGAGATCTTAATCTCATGATTATGAGAACAGGATCACGTAATTATGTGACAGTAAGTCATAATTACGAGATCCTCCAATCCCCAAATCCTCCAAATGAAACTTTATCCCAAGATGCCCAAACTGGATCATCAAAAGTGTGGGAAACAGAGACCTAATAAAAATGGTGCGCTGCACGCTCTGTAAAATCGAAATGGCCGACTGCAGCAGCACCACTGCTATACACGAGCATGTCAAAAGAAAACACTCCGGGGCACTACAACCTCAAAACCACGTCACAGCAGTATTTATTACGGTAGGTTTTGTTGGTTAGAGTCTGGGAGTATCTCATCTGTTGTGATTCAGACAACTCAACAGAAGACTCCTTAGAGCAGATGCTAACGACTAGTATGGCAATGCCACTTTCCAGCAGTTTGTTTATGCAAATATAGGTCCATAAATCTAAATTACTATGATTTCCATTAATGTCAGGCTGTAAGTCGGTGTAAGCAACCTTTTGCACTTAAATAAGACAAGTGCATTTTTGAATACAACGGCACTAGCCACTGAAGTAAACCATACTCAACACACTACACTTTGTATGGTAATTAAATGCATAATAAACAACACCTTTCCTAACTAGGCCTACAATGCATAAATCTTAACTTTTGTGGTGAATTAGGTAAAAGTTGAAGTTTGAAATTGTTCCTTAATTCATGTAAATGTGTATTATTGATGGATGCCTTTTAATCTTTGGCACTTTATTTTTTATGCTGGGAATTTTTACTAGTAAAATAAGAATGTGAGAAAACGCTTGAATAAAAGTTTAAAAGTTTATTTATTAGTAAGTTAACCAATGGGTTAATTTACTAATCAGCAAATAAATGATAGATTAATTAAAAAAAGGTTAGACTGACTATTTGAAAAAATACCCAATAGATTTATTTTTTAAAAATCATTAGTTGCAGCCTTGGCGTATATCATAACAAAACAAGATGTCATCTTGGACTCTGTCAGGAGCAGTTTTTCAGCATTGATTGTTTTATAGACTGAACTATTAATAAAAAATAGGAAAGTCACTTTCGGCTTTTCCCGTTTAGGGGTTGCCACAGGGAATCGTCACACTGACAACTCGCATGTTGACATTTGGCATGTGTTTTACGCCGGATGCCCTTCCTGACGCAACCCTGACTCGACCCCAGGTCGAGTCACTCACTAGTTCCCACTAGCCTACCAGGGACGGCTGAAACTATTAAAAAAAAACTGGTAGATAATAAAAATAAAAACAAAATAATAATGAAAATAAAATAGTAATACTTAGCTGCCACCCAAAACAAAACGTTTGGTGTCAAATTACCCTAAGTATGTATTGGCCTTGTCCAACTGAATTTTGTGCTACTAAGAAGTGCACTGTACAAACAAACTTAATTAGGAGCACAAAAATGAAGTCTAGAAACAAAATAAGAATAATGAACTGAAACAGCATTCTGTAGAAAACCACTCATTACGACTATCTCAAAGTGACGAAGAGAGGAGTTGTGTTGCACCTTGAGCTCCTGTAGCTGGTCGGGCTCATAGAGCTGGCTAGAAACAGCTTGGGCAAGGAAGGCATCTAGCTCATGTCTCTGGAGGATCCTTCCTCCAGGCCACTGCATCATATACCTGAAAGGAAGGGAAAGCAAAGCTATCTTTAGAGAAGCAACACAGATCTACAGTGTACTGGCTTTTGACAAGCTTCATTCCTACGGTCAAATACAATCTCTCAAAACGGTGTTCACATATCAAACTGGCTGTGGCTGCATCTTTCATTTACAGTAACATAGGGATGTACCATTTTACTCACTGTGATAAACTGAAATTTGACTACGGTGTGACTTTAATACATTATGCACATCCTCACATATCAACAGACAGTGTGATATTCATTAAATTTGTCCATGCCACTCACAACAAGTAAGCAAAATAATTGAGTAAAACTTCTGTAGCAGAGGATCGGTTCCTTTGTATCAGTAGTATCCTACTGTGACCTACTGTCAGTTTATTAATAAACCCTCTTCATAAAGGACATACAGACATGTCACAGTAGGAAGATCATGAGTACATAATGAAATTGTCTGCATCGGTTGTAGGGACCTGGTACCGTGTATGATTGCTCACTACCATTACTTAAACAGAGCTAATGTTACGGTAAATGGTCTTATACTTGTATAGCGCTTTTCTATGCATTGCAGCACACTCAAAGTGCTTTCACACCATTTGGCCATTCACACTCATAAGACACTCACACACTGGTGTCATCACCAGGAGCAACTGGGTGTTCGGTGTCTTGACACTTCGACATATGGACTAGACAAGCCAGGAACCGAACCGCTAATATTCTGGTGAGGAGATGACCTGCTCTACCTCCTGAGTCACAGCTGCCCCCTTAAAGTGTGTGTGGCCAGAGGACGACAGTGAGAGGCGGCACATGGTGGTTTGTTATCCCTAGACTAATGACTAGGTCTGCAGACCAGCTATTATTACAAGCACTAAGCTAAGACTGCGTCCGCACTTCCAGGGCCATGCAAACACCTGACCGCACAGGTTTAGTTTCATATGTGCTTTTCCTGCTATGACAAGTCAAAATAGCTGATGTGAAAAAGGATTACTGATGGTGCAAACATAGCAGACAAGATGATGAGGTACGTCAGGTTGGAGGGGTGGGGAAGGCCCTGGGTCAGTTGTCCCAGGTCAAGGGGGTAGGGGGCAAAACAGCCATATTATAGCGCCACATATTTGAGGAAAGTTTATAATAGTATTTTTGTTTTATATAGTATTTTTCTTCCCAATTTTCCTTGACATAGTCTGTCAAAATAATTTCAATTTCTCCCATTATAATGCAAAAAATGGTTTGATCTGTCAAACTGGGTCAAGGAGTGTTCACATATTCAGTAAACTTGACAAAATAAACAGCCATTTATTACCCCTGCTTTTTTGTCAGATAAATGCAACACTGTTCCTAGAAAATTGTTGCAATCACAAATTCTTTGGCATTCTAATATTTGTCTTTTGCTTGCCATTCCACACAGAACTCCAAAAACGGGCTGGACAGAATTACTGACACCTTTTCAAACTCATCAGAAATAGTTGTATTTCAAGCATGCGATGCTCCTTTCATTTTTAGCTTTCTTTCCTCTGCTTTTTTGTGGTGTTCCAGTGCAAACAAAAGAAACATGAGAATACCAAAGAATTTGCCAATCATCTACATGGACTGATTGTTTTGCAGATTAAATAACTACTTTGGCTCTAATTCCAAGCTTGGAATATAGTCTACATCCATTAGCTTTAAATCTGCATGCACTGACATCCAACTGTTGTCACAGCACAGTGATAACACAGAGGAAATTGAACCAAGAGAATTACTGAGCAAAATGTAACTCTGTAAATGCTTACCCACTATAGTTTGAAAAATCACAGAGCTACTTCCTGTTAAACACTGAGATCAACATAGCTGATATAATGTAAGAGTACAAAGTGTGTATTTCATTGTGCAGTGTTATGAGAAACTGCAATCTCGAGAGAGAGCCACCATCATAAGACTGCATACAGTAGGACTGCAACTAATTATTTCCATTCCATTTATCTGCTTATTAATCAATTAACTGAAAAATGATTGTTTATTAAGTGCTACAAAATAAACACAAATGCCAATCATTTTCCTAGAGTGCAAAATGTTTAAGTATATTTTTGTTCCACTAACAGTCTAAAATCCAACTGCTCAATATAGCAACATGTTAAACGAAGGAAAGAGGCCGATCCTTACATCTGAGAAGCTAGAACAAGGAAAAGTTTGGTTTGCTAGCCAAACTAGTGCAAAAAGTTACTCACACAATTAATCAATTATCAAAATAGTTGCAGATTAATGTTTGTTGATCAACTGATTCATTAACAGACTCATCATGTTCAACTGCAAAGCAAAAAGAACAGAGTACATCCAGAGAGTGGTTCCCACTGAGGTACTCCTGAATCAAACTCTGGACACTAAAACTATTATAGAGCACTGTCATACCTGAGCACACAGCACATGAGCAGCAGATGCTGTGGAACCTGTGCTGGGTTGAGGAGAGCTGGGCAGTCAGAGCGTAAGCAGGCCAAGAAGGCCCTGGTTCTCCTGGAGCGGTCCTCACTGGCACGACCCAACCACAGCCGTCGCAGGTTGGGGCAGGTCCACTCCCTGAAACACAGGGCTGGAACCAGCTCTGGAGTCAAGGCTGACTTGGCCTTACCACTGCTCCACTCTTTGACAATCACTGGAGGAACTGTAATACAGAGGTAAGAGAGGGCTGTTAGTATGAAAATGGACAGGATTGTTTTGGAAGAACTAATGCCACCTTGGTACTATAATGAATTAGAGTCAATGAAATGGATGTTTCAGTTACAGGCTTTGGAGCATCTGTGTTGTTATATTAACAGACTCCTCTAAAACCTAACAGTAAGAGTGCAGTGAGGGTTCATAGACTGTGTTGGACTCTGTGACCTTCCTCTTATGAGACAGTCCATCGGTGCTCTGTGATATAAAAAGGCGCTTAGTGCTGGTAATTTTTAAACAGTAGGTTTTTCGCACAGCAAACATTCTGACATGCCATTTCAGGAAAAGCACAAGTGTTAGCTAAATGCAGCAATGCTGGTTCAGTTACATTTCTGAGCATCAGTAAGCCAGAGTCCACCATTCCAAAGCTGCATGACTCGTAGACCTGAATGGGATGCAGCCATCATTAATGACATTATTTACACCTGTGTTTGTGAAGTCAAAATGTTCTCCACCTCCACAGCAATCAAACCAAGGTCTAAACACCTACCTACCTCCTATAACTTTCAGCGTTTTTCCAAATTGTCACACTGACGACTCGCAGCGGCGAGAGCACTGCGCCTTAACCACTAGCCTACCAGGGATGGCTAAACCAAAGCTGGTACTAGGTATGGAGAGACCACAAAAACTGACAACTAATTGGGAAATATGATAGGCTTCGTGTAGCCTTGATAATGAGGCTTTGTCAGGTTACATTAGTCATTCATGTACATATATATTCCCCAACATAAAACAGGGTTTCACTGAAACTTCGAGTGCCAAATTACACAATGAGGTCACAACAGCTAATTAGCTAGAAACAACACATTATGACCTTAATAGACTGTAAGAAACCTACAGTGAAGTTAACTGGCTGCCGAGAAGAGAATATTTCAGTAGCAATAGAGCTCACAGACCAAGAGGTTCAAAGGCGTTCTCACCCACCCCACTAGGTGGGAAAAAAGAAGAAGAAGAAAAAAAAAATCTACGGATCTACAGTCATCACCAAAACGATAAATTCAAAAGAAAAACTGTTGTTATTTCAGACACAGTACTAAGAATAAATGCGAGTGAGTATATGTACAGACAATAATGACCAGTCAGTTTCCATACTGCCCTCAGCTACTCCCTGCAGTCGCAGGACCTACCTTCCTGGGGAGCCCTCTTTCGGAGAGCAAGCCTCTCCAGGCGGCGGTGGGTTTCGGCCAGACTGAAGAGGACACCATAGGCATATTGTCTAGCAGCACGGAACAGCAGAGAGGCAGGAGGCAGCTCAGAGTTACACTCATCCTCTATACACACTGGCATCTTCATCTCTCCCTGAGGGGCGGGGCGGATGGAGGGAGACATAAGGACAAAATGTTGGAAACAAACTCTGGCAAGGTTGATTTATTCATGTCACCATTTTTATAGCCACTGTTTAACTAGACAAGATGACTTATGAAGCTTGCAAAGATTGAGTTAAAGCTTGCAGGGACAAATGCAAAGACATAAAAAACATGAATGGCATCTAAGTGAGGAAAGTTGTTTACCTTGGTCAATATGTGGTAAATCTGGGGATACATCAGTCCCCTTCTGTGTCTGTGTTCGGCTACACGAAGAACCTCAGCACTGACCTAGAATGTCACAACCAAAATAAAATAAAATAAAATTAAAAAAAACATGTTAACAACCTGTAACAAACAACCTGTAATTAACTGGACACATGTTGTCATGGACACACACCTGAGGCAGAGGGGGTGTGGTTATGTCCATGTGACTCCGCGTCGCCATAGACAGCAGTGACGGAATGTTTGACCCGCTCCCGTTGCCTTGGGAACCGTCTCCAGAGGCCGAGCCCCCCCTTCCAGCAGGATCCTCCCGCCGAGAGGGCTTGTCCGTCAAATGGCTGAAAGAAAAGGTTTATGGAGTGTTTATTCATTCTGGCCTGTATGTGTGTGTGTGTGTGTGTGTGTGTGTGTGTGTGTGTGTGTGTGTGTGTGACACGATGCCAACGTTTCTGCAGGAAAAACATTCACTCAGACATTTTGCGCAGGTTTCGATAAGTTCTCACATTATCAGTTCTGCTCTTGGCATTGAAAAAATTAATAAGATGATGAAGCAGCTTTATTTTATTGTCATTGTAGCATTGGGACATGTACAATGAAATTTTGTTTGGAGCCAAGGGCCCCAGGCCGCTGTGTGCTTATGTGCTGCCATCAAGGGCAACTTGAGGGGGTCAGTGCCTTGCCCAAGGACACTGACATGGACTGCAGGTACTGAGATTAATTTCCTATTTATTAGTGATGCACCAAAATGAAAATTCTGGGCCGAAACCGAAACAGAAAATTTATGATGCACTTGGCCAAAAACCGAAACGAAACCGAAAATGGCTTCTTTTAAAAACTTTAAATTTTTAAAACACGCTCACTCTATAATTGTGTATGTATATGTATAT